GAATGGAAGCCTGTTTCTGCCGAGATTGCTGAACTCACATGTCAAAATTATTTCCACGTCCTTTGCGCTGCAGATTGTCAGGCCAAAATTGGGGTACATGGAAAACACCGGGGGGAGGGACGAAGATGCACGTCTGGGGACGTCAGTCCGGGACTGTCGGCAGCATTTCTGTCGCCGTGTTTGGTGAGGAAGGTATCTGCGTCCCAAATGACAATCCGGAAAGGCACATAGTTAAGTCTCTGAAACGGAAGACGGAGTATGGCTCAGTAGGCAATTGCTGAGATGAGAATCCGAGAGATGGTTGTGGAGAAAATGAGGAGGGGGTAAGTAAGCGTTGAGGAATGCGGTCCGGAATGTTAGCAAGATTATCGTACAACAAGTAGTCATATAAGTACCTTTGCAGGGGGAATCAGGAGGCGTTTTCGAGTACCAATGCGTAGATTCCGACCGACTCAACCAGGTAGTTTAATAATTCATGTGAATGCGAGCTGTCAATGCATTTAAGGAAGCAATGAGTACAAGCTTCGAAAAAGAGCAGAGCTTTTTGTGTTCACCGGTGTAGATACTGACTGACATGTATTTTCAGTGACAGCGTAGATGAAAGGGAGACTCTGTCATAAAACTGTAGAAGGTCTGAGAGGCCACGAGGAGGCCGAAAGGCATGCACAATAACCAAAACATAATGACAGCCGCTTTTGGAAATTTCAGCGAAGCAGCAGGTATGGTCCGTTCTACGCACATTTATTGCACTCGCAAGTATGTGGCAAGGGCGCAAGGAGACTTTGAATATCAAGATGGACAGTGCTGTTGCAGCCGTCCCTCGCGTGACACATGGTCGATCCTGTCTAGGACCGGATGGCACCACCACCACCACCACCATCATCATCATCATCATCATCATCATCATCATCATCATCACAACCACCGACAGTCCAAAAGTCGTTTCCGACGATGTCAGGCGTGTGCCCTACAGCAGGGTGGGAACAGGAACGGTGACATGTGCGTGAATTCCTTCATAGTGGTGGTAAGCTTTCGCTGTATCTACTGCAATCCTTCCTCCCCCACATCTGGATCCGGTCTCCAGCAGGGTCAAGAAGTTAAGATGCAGGACACGACACAGGTAGCCGGCGCGGCGAAAATCCGCACCTAAGCGTACCACCACACCCCCTGGTCCACGGTATGCAACTGATCAGGATTTTGCACGTAAACATGAGCGGAGAGGCTGAGATCGGAACTGGCATGACTTGGGCCTGCGCTTGTTCTCGCCACCGCACCCTCAATGTTGGCATCCCCACACCCCCAATAACACCTGCCGGACCCGGTCATGATACAAGACCCAGAAGGAGAAGGAGGAGTTACCACGGTGGACGGTGCACCAGTCTACTATCGTTTTAGTCAGTTTAAGTCAGTTTTTAAGGGAATGAGGCTTTCGCCCTTGAGCACCCTATTCATATCGATAAACAGAAATAAAGTTTTAAACTAATTCCTACGAAATTCACTGTTCCTGCTTGCACCCTGCTGTGAAGCACACGGTGAACGTCATCGAAATCGACGACGGAGATGCCGGGTGCACGTACGTCCGAACTGCAATGGATTCAACGTATGACATAAGGCCACGCAGTTTTGCAGTAGGAGCCTTCATGGGGAGCTTGATCCTCGAAGCAAATAAAACGACCATTGAAATGAAGGTTTTGCCAGCAATTACCAATGAGTTAGTGCAATCAATACAAATAGGCTAGTAGATAATGCGTGCTAGAGATGACGGCCTGAATTTATGAGAAATATCTATGAAAACAGACAGCAAGACTCTATGCAACTACGCGGACTTGTGAAGTAACATATTCCAAGAAGCACACATGGGGTTTTATCGAAAATCTAGCACGCGGAAGCGATGCTGATTTGCCAGGGAGGTCAGTTACATGTATTCACCGTTTGGGGTGCCAGGACAGTGTAGTGTGATGACAGTTCGGCCATCGACTTCGACGATGTCCACCGCGTGCTCCGCAGCAGAGTAAGAACAGGGATGGTGACCTCAGCGGAATTATTAGACTTAAGTCGCATCTACGACGCCCTCTTATTCCCGACGTGGGAGCTTTGTTAAGACATAGTCAAGAATATCGGAGGTGGGAGTGGACGCAGGTGGCTGACGCGACGAGAGCCTCGCCTAGGCGGCGTATATTGTTGCATTGGTGGCACTGACACAACAGCTGAGTGATGGCAAGCGACTCTTTGAATAATTAGAACATTATGAAGACTAAATAAGGGGGTGCATTGAGTCGCTTAATCAGTATGCAGCTCGAAATACTAGAGGAGGCCGAAGGAAGGAAATCTGGCATGGAAGCAGCTGAGGACGTTTCGCTCACACCTACCCTCACTAGCACGCGATCGCAGCTATTTTAAGTAGAAAAATTGAGCTGCAGCTCTACAAGGGCAATCTGTTTATACGCATGATCGAAGGTGAGCATGCTTGCGGTGTCGTTTGGCCGATCTAATTGAAGAAAATCAAGAAACTTGTATTCAATGAAAATTCAAGCAGACAGTACTACGACAGTGCTACTAAACGCGCGCCTACCCTCGAAGCTGTCTTCTCCACCGAAACAATCAGAAAGAGTTGCTAAACCTGAAAGAATCGACCTCCCCAGGCCCTGACGCCATCTCGGCCAAGCTGCTGAAGGAGCTAGCTCCCGAAATGTCCAACCTGTTAGCATTGCTCTTTCGACCGTCATTTGTTAGTGGGCGCCTGCCCTCTGATTGGAAGTCCGCTACAATCACTCCGCTTTTTAAAGGTAGAGGTCTCGCGTCTGCGAATAACTACAGGCAAGTGAATCCTATCCCCCTCTGCTGCAAAACCATGGAGAAGATCATTAAGAAGGCCTTGAGGCGGTCCCTCGAGCAGCATTATCTCTTTTACGATGCCCAACGCGGCTTTCGAAGTGGTCTCACGAATCCCGTCTTTAAGCTCCAACGCTGAAACAAAGCACGCAATGAAGTCAATGTGGTGCACGCCATCTACGTTGATTTCACACAGGCCCTCAGTAGCGTTCCTAACAAACGTCTATTGTACAAACTGCGCAACACTTGCATTCGTGGACGCCTTCTTGTATGGACCCAGAGCTTTTTGGCTGGACGGTCCCAAAGAGTGCAGGTCGGGCGTCAACAGACCTCAGAGGTAAGCGTGGTAAGTGGCTTCCCACAGGGCTCAGTCCTAGGCCCCCAGTTATTCCTCGTTTTCATAAATGACGGCGTCAGGTACCTAAACTGTGATGCCATTCTGTTTCCGACGGCATAAAATTGTGGAGTCACTTACAGTGTTGCAGACGCAGACCACTTTCAAGCAAATTTGAACAGGCTCGAAGACTGGTCGAAGCGTTGACCTATGCCCTTCAATATAAGCAAGTGCAACCTTCTTCAAATCGGCAACTTCAGAGCCTCCAGCTTTCTAGAGGGCACACCACTGCAACAGGTTGACAGTCAGAAGGACTTTGGTGTATGGATTACATCTTCACTCAAACCAAGACTGCATTGCGCGAAGGCGGCCAAATCGGCTATGGATACATTACAACTCATTAAGCGAGCCTTTATGGGATTTGACCCTGACTGCGTTTCCGAAATATTTGGCACCTACGTGCGGCCTCACCTAGAATAGGCCATACAGGCGTGGAGACCTTGGACTGCCAAGGACTATACCGTCTTGGAGAGGGTCCAGAGACGGGTGACCAAAATGACAAATGGTCTAGGAGCATTCCTCTACGAAACCAGAATGTCAATTCTCAATCAACAGGCAATTATGTGGGAATCTTATACTAACATTGCGCATTATAAATGGCCTAGATTGCTGTTTAGTTCCCAGTGATTATTTCACTCAAGTCAACACTTTGCGCGGTCATCCCCTAAAACTACGCACGGGAAAGCAAGAATCAATGGACGAGAGTTCTTTTTCAGTGACAGAGTGGTTGCAGCGTGGAATGCCCTGCCTACCGATGTTGTAATCTCCTCCTGTGTGAATCCCTTTAAATGCAGACCTGACGCGTATCATGCTTCCCAATTACCAACATCCCATACACTTACACAACCTGGCACAAATCATGCGTGTTTATACTACTTGTGATTAGTAAGTAAACGTTAATTATTACTCTTTTACGAGTGGCTGTCAGCTGTCCGCAGTTACGTACAAAATATTTTTCAACTTCTCGCATCAATTCTTTCCTCCGACGACTTGTAACCAGTGGGGAGTTCAAGGGCTCCCGCTTATATTTCCCTAAATAAACCGAAACTGAAACTAAACGGACACCAGAGGCAGGGTTAACATGCTTTTGCCGCCTACTTCAGTTGTGTTTTTGCCATCCTTTAGCGGCGACATGCAGTGGTTGCATTTGGGAGACTGGTACCGAAACGTAAGACGCCATCGGTTGGTTAGAACTGTTAGAATATTTATTTGCGCCATAGCTGTTTGTGTCGGGCAGTCAAGCGTTACTTTGTGGCATGCCGCCGTCATTGGAGTAAACTTTCGTTACTGTTACGTAGCGGACATTCACTCTTAAACTCAAACAGCTTTTCGTGGTCCATAAATTATTAAGAGGATGACCAGTGGATCGTAACAGCATGCCAGACGTGTTAATGCGGAACGCGACCTTATTTTTCTTTTCTACGATTACGCAAGCCGTCATGGAAATTGACGAGAGAGCTAAATATTTTTGGCCCTTTTCAGAAATGAGATTACCAATACCCACTTCTCTGGGAAGATTACTCCCAGGAAACTGCGAGTGTTGAATTTAGACGACGAAAATGCTATCACTGGAACTAAAAATTTATTGGCCTGACGTTGCGAATTCTCATTCGAACCCATAATCAGAGACAGTCGCAGATAAGGGTAGTGGTAGCACAAGAAATGCAGTATGTTTAGTACACAGCTGCAACCGTCTTTGGTGATAGGTACGAGTAAGAATCCGAAACGTCAATGATTGCATCTTTGTATTTTGAAGTGCTTACTGAAACTCGCCTGTTCGTTTCTATCGGAAATGCTGAATTGCACTGAAACACTTCTTTGGATCTCAATACAGCAGGTTTATTGTAGGTGAGCCTATGCGGGACAGTCGATCACCAGTAAAACACGGGCCTTAAGGTATGTAAGCATCTGCTATGCATTGCTCAGCAAACCATGGTTCTCACAACATGGTGTGCACTGAAAGTTCTCTGACACCTGGTTCCTTGCCGATAGATGCGTTTGCGCTCCTGTTAGCCATAAAGGTCGTGAGCATGGCTGCCCACTCATCCTCATTGTCTTTCTGATCCATTAAGGTGCTGCAGTTAGTAGAAATCCTGGTCACGTGTTTGTTGTGGGCCATGGGACCTGGTGAGACGCCCAGGTGTGGGTCGGGGCATGCCAGTCACCTGCATTCTATCGCGTCCTCGGTCTTCTTGACTATGTTTTGACACCGGATCCCTGTGTGGGAGGAGAAGGAGGGAGTGTGGTAGATGCTGTGCAAGTCTGTAGCTACTATAAATTAATTCACGCACAAGTCACCGTGCCTGCTCTCAGCATGCTGTGGGGAAACACGGTGGACATTGTCGGTCACGACGGCCGAATTGTCATCCCTGAAAAGGTGAACGTGAAATCCGATAAACTGCGTATATAATCTGTAAGTACCTTAAATAAGTAATTTCGATCTGAACAAAAATTATTTTAGTCAAGCCAGTATGTATTGCGCATTTCAAATTTGCAGCAAGAGCGGCCTGCGCGTGCCGCTTCCTTCAAAGATCGTGTACGTGATAAAGATATAAGTTGGGCACAGCATGCAGGCTATCCGGGAAACGAAAATAGCAGTGTCCCAACAGTTACAAACTAGTAAATAAGAACAAAGTCGTCAGCAGGTACAAATGCACGTGCATGTTCTCTGTCTTATTCAAAGTTGTGTCAAAGCGTTTTGTAACTGATTAAAACAAAACGGACTTAAATGTCACTACAATCGCATTGTAGAAGACGACATTACCATGTTGATTTAAATGAAAGGGTATGAGGAATTTATGGAGAAGAGTGAGAGGTAATATTTAGCGTAGCATCTTCCCTCCCTAGTGTTTTTTTCCCTAGTGAAGCACAATGCGTCTCCTTTTTGCTTAACATTGAGCCGGTGGAAATTCTATCCATGGAAACCCTTTTCAATTCCGGCAACCGCCCTATCGAACAACTGCTAGTTGACTCATTTTGATAACTTTAGACCCTTCTCCGCACCCGTTACATAATATACTGTTGTTACTGTAACCATATATGATGCTTATTGGGTGGAAGTCGGATGAATTACTGTGCGACTACGGGATGGTTCGAGAATCTTACACGACGATGTCCACCGTGTGCTCCACAGCAGGCAGAATGACTTGTGCGTGAAGCCGTTTCTAGTGGTAACAGACTTGCACGGCATCTACCACACTCCCTACTCCTGCCCCAAATGGGTCCGGTGTCACAACATAGTCAATATGACCGAAGACGCGAGAGGGCGCAGGTGACTGGCACGCCCGGACCCCCACCCAGGCGTCACACTACGTCCCCTGGCCCACAACAAACACGGTGACCAGATTTTTTAATAACAGCGACAGCATCTTAATGGGTTAGGAAGACAACGAGGATGACTGGGAAGCCTGTATAGGCGGCGGGAGCGCAGACGCATCTACCGATAGGGATCCAGGTGCCAGAGAATTTCCAATGCGCACCATGTTACGAGAGCCATGGTTTGCTGATTATGGCATAGCAGATGCCATCGTGAATAATAGACGTGGGCGTCCCATGGTCTCCGCCTAAAACGTTTCCTCAACAGACCTCCAGTTTTCGTAACTACTTCTTGACGCGAGTCTAGGCGGAGAGGAGGGGAGATTGAGGTAGAACCTGCGCAGGTCTACCCCAACTATAAACTAATTCGCACAGAAGTCACCGTACTTGCTTCACCTTTCGGTGGAGCGCACAGTTTACATCGTCGGCCATGACGGTCGAACTGTCAGTAGGACATGAGTAGAGGGACAGCTGCGCCTGCGACAAATTCAAGGGAGATTAACGTTGAGGTAAAATCTGGCGCTAGAGTTAATTTTAAGGCAGGGTGATGGTTATGATTGGGACACTGGGATGAGCGCACTGCCCAAACTTTGGTTGACGAACAACTGTTTCACTTAGAGATTTCTATTCTCATGTCTGACTCATCCAGTAGAGCTTTAGTTCAATGGTATTTATGGTTTATCCAAAACTTGTAATGGCTACTACTAAGAAGAACGTGCGTCGTGCTATGACGTACGTTTTGCAAGCCAAAATGTTATTTATACGCCAAGTTTGAGAAATATGCGCAACCGACAATAGGGGCATTTCTGGAAATATTCAGAATATAATATTCCATACTGTGCGAGTGGCATTCAGTCCATACTGACTGCATGCATGTTTTCTTTCTGAATTTGCAACTTAAAAACTGACAGTGATTTTAATTTTAAATTTGATTCGGGTTTCCGTGCTTTTGCCATTAATAGCATTTCATTAAACTCCACATTAAGGTGTCTCTGCGGAAAATATTTATAGAAACAGCCCACTGAACTGAAACACCCCGCGAAATTATACCCTGATTACTAAAGGAATGCGGCTGTCTTAATTGACAGTCTACATGGTGTGTCAATTGCCCTGCCATACACAAAGTTTTTACTAAACATGAAAGATGCCCTTTGACCCCTAAATGTCCGAATGATGGAAGCGTTTTCAGAGGGGAATAGTCAGTTTCCATTTGAACACAGATGTGAAATATGCGTCGACCAATACCCTCGCGGTGTTTATTGCCAAAAATTTAGTATTGCCATTTTGTCAATATTCGAAATGTCACAGAGACTTCATTGTAGCAACGGCACGTCGTCCTGCGGCATACGTCCAATTGTTCTATTTCTGCACAGAATGCCATTTATACAATAAAGTCCTTATCAACGCTGACAGGAAGACTGGGTACTAAATAGCCGTTGGCAGTAGCTTAAAAGGTGTTTGGATGAAAATTACATTAGATGCCTACAACAGTGTCTAATCTGCTCTAAGTGAACAGGAAGTTCTGACCGAATCACGGATTTGCAGAATAGCGTTTCAAATTTTAGGCAACGGGCGTTTTTTTGGTCCATGAAGCAGTCGTTAACAAGCAGAGTCCACGTTCGTACTCCCCATAGACTTTTTTGTCGAATTTTGCGCATTTTTTTAAATAATCTAAGGAAGTTTGACTTCAGTAACTGAAAATGAAATTGAAAGCATTATGCCGCTCCAAATGCACAAAAAGAAGATACTGGAATGCGGGAAGGTGTATTTTTTGTTTCCAGAGTAATCAAAGGTGCTGTTTTTACGCATTAGCGGAAAAGGCGGACAGCTACATCGTCACATCTGGGGCGTTAGACCCCCTTCACAACAGGACCACAGTTGAAAAAATCATGAAAGGTGCGAACCAGCTCAGGGGTATATAAGATGGGACGGCGACAGAAAGCGGAACTAAAGAGGGAAGCCATGTCTGAAAGGGACAGGGAAGAAAAGTAAGCGCAACCTGAGCCCAAATAACGGGGAAAGTGGATAAGGAAGAAGATGCGCTTTAAGCAAGTGCGTTAAAGTCAACCCGAACATGAAAGGGAAGGTTGGTCTGGGTTTATGAAAAAAAACTGCGGAATTTGACGCATTTCTTAACAGCGTATATGGATGCTGGAGATGACAAATACCACGGCCTTGAGCGAATGTTAACGTCTCCATCTCAGACGCTTTCTTCTGTTCGATGTGCGTAAGTTTTAGTCAGCATAAGAGTTTACTAATTGGACCATTGTAGACATATCTGCATTCAGACCAAAAATAACCAGACATCAAGTACGAATTTTGTCAGGTCCCGGTTGCTTTTAGCCATTCATCGAGCGTATATGTGTCATAACGAAAGTTAATTCTCATTTTTGAAATATAAGTAGTATGCTGGGTATATTACATTATGAGTTATTTGTGCTGTTGGAAAATATCCCCAAATTTATGACGTCTATTTTTTTCGAGAGAAAACTATAGTTACGGTTGAAAGTAGACATGAACTTGTTCTTAGCTTCACCTCAGCTGGAGAGCATATTATACGTGCTCCGATTTGAGAGAATCAGAAATGTGGCAGTGGTGGCTCAAAAGCCAAATCCGCTTAAACCATTTTCGTTCTTACATCTATGATTAAACGATCTTGTCGACAGCAGTTTGTCTCACTTCAAAATGGTACTCATCCAAATTATTATATGCAGAGATAGACAGTGACCGGCAACAACAGTTTGTTTTTCATTGCACCTTAAAATCTTCCTGAAGGATAAAATACTGTTGTAACAATTCCTGGAATATATGTTTGTGATTGGTTATATGCAGGGTCGTTAATTTATTTTAATTTTCGTTGTAAGCGGGTGAGAGGAAGTAAGCTTTCATTCCAAATGGAGGCAAATTCTGCTGGAAAATTGCACAATTGGGACTAATGTCTCAGTTAATTACACAGGAACAACCATGAAAAAATGGTCTCAGCCAAGAGTTGCAGTCGTTCTGTGATAAAACGAGGCTGTACGGAAATAGATAACCTTTCTTAAGATCCCGGTGGTAGCAGGAAGCAAACTCTGCGACTCCTCATATGGTCACAGGGAATAACCGTGCTATTTTTAACAAATATTTCTCCTTTCAGTGCTGTAATATCTGCCAAATGCGCGAGGGGGCACATGATTTGGGCTAGGACTTTGAATGCTGGATTATTATCCTGGTTGACTATCTTACATAACTTCTGCTAATTTATTCTAAGTGACTGCGAGCAAGTCGTAAGTCTGCCAGTAGCATGCCTGTTTTGAGGTACCGGACTAATTTACCTTTGACAATTTAGTCCTGTTTTGTTTACCCGCATTGCTTGTTTGAATGTGACGGAAAATGGCACACCTCTACAACCCACCCGGCTAGCTCAGTCGGTAGAGCACGAGACTCTTAATCTCGGAGTCGTGGGTTCGAGTCCCACGTTGGGCACTATTGGTGACTCCCGACGTAAAGGCAGACTTTATGCCTTTCTGTCATACCGAATAACATTTAACCTACTATTTGTTTGTGAATTTCTATTTCATTTACGTCTACTGTTCTCAAGAATTCTGATATTTTTACCATCTCTGTCTTATATGTCTCACTCCAACCAACTACTTAATGCCCCCGCCCAGTCCCTCGATGCCATCAATTTTACCTTGCCTGGATTCTGGCAACACGCTCCAGAACTTTACTTCATCCGCATAGAATTAGCCTTTTATTCTGTTGACGTTACTAATGAGTTGGCAAAATACCACAAACTGGCGGAGCTTCTCCCGGCTAGTGTTATCTCTCAAGTTTAGTCCCTGCTAACTAATCCTCCTGCAGATGCACACTACTCCACGTTAAAGGCAAAGATTCTCCAACTTAATTCTGTGTCTGACCGACAGCGGTATCACCATTTACTTGCTGCCTTTAAGACTAGGAGGTCGCGAGATTTCACTAGTTAGTTGGTGAGAAAATTATTAATTACGACATGCCTGCACTCAGCCGTAGCTTAATCATGGTCCTAAGGCGCACTGAATAGCAAATAAACTTTACACGCGTTTCATCCTGAATTTTTCGGCACCTCGGTAAGTGTATCAGTGCTTCGTACGTCCTTTTTATCATGCCCCCTGATTAAGACGAAAAACAACCAAATTTAGGGGTACTAAGGTGTTACTGATTCCAGTCACTCTTCCTCCATGAATCTACAGTAGATGTGCTAACTCATGAAATGTCAACCAAAATTTAGAAATGCGTTCTCATTTCGAAAAGATAAATTAAGTAGTGTTGTAAAACTAATCATGATGCAGCATAAATCTATAATGATGCAGTTACCTCATGGTGTCGGCTTTAGAAAGAACTTATTTGTGGCCGCATGCAGGATCTATACTCTGCAAAAAAATGACAAATTAAGTAGCATGCAATTTTCTCATTGATTTTCGCTGCCCTTGAAAATTCCATTATATTGCATGGAAATCATATATAAAAAATTCATTCTTTTACGTGTTCGGTGGAAAATCACGTCTTCTTCCAAATTCATACTCAAAAAAGAGTATAATTCGGTTTTAAAAAAGTTTCTAATTATGAGATTTTTTAATACCGTTAAATGGCCGTTTATGAAACGTCATGTATCTGCATTTACGAACGTGGCTTGTTAAGTTAACAATATTGCTCAAATCCACTGCTTAATTTTATGAACCCTATATAGTCTCCTCTTAAAACCGTAGAGAAATGCATGGTTTTGCGTACACGGAAAATATACAGCTTGTAGTTATGAAACCCTGAATGCAAGTGTAACAGCAGGTCGGGTTCAAAATTATTCGGGAATTAGAAAGGTTTTTTAAAACCGAATTATACTCTTCTTTTGAGTATGAAATTGGAAGAAAACGTGATTTTCTACCGAATAAGTAAAATAATGAATATTTTTATGCATGCTTTCCATGAAATATAATTGCATTTTCAAGGGCATCGAAAATCAATGAGAAAATTGCGTACTACATAAGTAGTCATTTTTTGCAGAGTATAGATCTTGCATGCAACGGAAAATAAGTTCTTTCGAAAGCCGGCATCCTGAGGTAATTGGATTATTATAGATGTTTGCTGCATCCTGATTAGGTTTACAACACTACTTAATTTATCTTTTCGAAACGAGAACGTATGTAGAGATTTTGGTTGACATTTCATGATTTAGCACGTCTACTGTATAACCTATCTAATTATTCTCTTTTAGGCAGTCCAGAAGGAAAGCCTATTCACAGTCTACGATTCGTCTTTACTGGGTTTGAAATCCTTTCCGAATTACTTAGTCGAGAATAAATAGGCGGTTGCACATACAATGTAGGAACTGCAGTGAACGATTTTCGAAATCCAGTCTAACCGTCTGTCAATCATTTAGATCCTTACATGAGAATAAAAATCCTGACGCAGACATCCAGATAACTGGCACAAGCATGTACAATTTGCTGGCCGATAAAGCCTTTGGCTGGCGATAAATTCTCATGTGCTTAAGTTCGTCCAGGTTTATGTAGACGAAGGTTAGGCAGAAAAATCTGACCTGGTATCCAGATGCAAAAAATAAGTCAAGTTTTCTGCTATAGTCAATAAGCGACTTGTTGTGACATAAGCGATATAACAATTCCTTTGTTAAATGCAAAATTGACACATCTCGCGCCGAATTATTCTTCGTTTTAGAGGTCTAGACAAAGGGATCTTACCCATGTTATTGTTATTCCTAGTGATTACTATGTTGAACGGCATATCCGAAACAGGTCGATTGAAACGAAAAAACAGTGAATGCTAATATACAATGAGTGACCGATCCCATGAAATGTTGGCTGAAATTCTAAAATGCGTTTTCGATTAGGAAGGATTACTTGGTCACGGTTGTAATACTGTCTAGCTTGCGGCATAATCCTTTAATATCTCGGACTAGGTAGGATGTCGTCTTTCGAATAGACTTATTTTCCATCTCATGTGGGAACTTTACTCGGCAAAAAATGACAACTTAATTAGCATGTATTTTTCGCATTGATTTTCGATGGTCTTGTAGATTCAAATATATCTTACAAAAACCATAAACAAAAATATGCTTTCTTTCAGTCAATAATAGGGGATCACGTCTTCTTCATATTGTATACTCAAGGAAGGAGTATAATTTGATTTCAAAAAAAGTTTTCTAATTACGGAATAATTTGCAGCCTGAACATTCGCTACATTAGTGCTTAGTGATTTCAGTCTACAAGGTGCATGCGCCCAGCGTAAAAAAATCACACATTTTTCTATGCCATTAAAATGATACCATACAGAGTCCATAAAATTTCGCAACGGATGCAAACTATGTTGCAAATTTCACGGGGAGCTGTGGTAAACGACCGGTACGATGATACGTGAATGGGCATTTCGCGGTCTTAAAAATCTAATAATTAGAAACTTTTTTAAAACCTAATTATACTCCTGTCTTGAGCATAAAATACAGAGAACACGTGATTCTCTATTAATTGACTGAAAGAAAGCATATGTTGTTTATGGCTTCTATGAGCTATATTTGAATTTTCGAAACCACCGAAAATCAATGGGAAAAGTGCATGCTACTTAAGTAGTCACTTTTACCGAGTAGGGTCTTTACAGGAGATTGAAAAGAAGTCCATTTAAAAGACGCCATCATGCCGAGTCCGAAATGTTAACGGATTATGCCGCAAGATAATCATTATTGCAACCACGACCAAGTAATCCTTCCTAATCGAAAACGCATTTCGGAATGTCAGCGAACATTTCACGAGATCGGTCACTCACTGTACGTACTGAAAGAAGAATCATGTCATCTAGCTTGCTCAAATTGAAAAAACTTTGCCGTCCAATCCATGTGGCATTTCTGCCCTTTATGCTAATGGATGACAATAATACGCTGATGCGATCCCAAAAAATTCCTAAACTGAGATGAGCTGCGTGCAATGTTGCAGATCCACATCTTTGTACTTACTCAGTTCACTGTGTATAAGTGAGATTTGCTAGTAATCCGTTAAAGGTGGCTCCTTAGCTCTGCTAAATTCGGGTGACGCCGATTTAATCACGTTACGTAAGCCCACTCTCTCTGGTAGAAAAACGTAATCATGACGTATACAATGTTTTGTTTACGGAGTTTCTCAAATGTTTTTGTTTCTAAACAAAAACACAACTGAGTCAAAATGGCCACATTTGTGAGTTAAAAGACTGATAAAGCCTAGTTTATACGTCACAGGGTTCGGTCACGGTCATCGTCATCTGCCATCCTGGTTGGCTAAAAAATAAGCGTTGCATTACTGCGGCGAGTGGTATGAAAGTCCCAGAAAACACATGTTGCACAATACTTTGCCAGTTTGATTGCAAGCCAACAAACCACATCAGGACAAGCGGAAGATGACCGCCACACGAACGACGTAGGCGGAAGTGGGAACAATAAAAGTTTTGTGTCCTAAAAATATATACAGAGACTCTGAGTTGGCTGTACGCAAAATTCTAATTTTGCATAAGCAAAACAGATTTGTTACTCACTGACAGACAGTATTTGAAATCTGCAGTATAGTTGGAGGCCATATCTGGACTTTTTGGCCGGTTAATTGTTTGTCAAATGTAAAAGAGAATTTGTGAATGGTATTCTGAGCAAAATGATTTGCCGTATTATCTGCGAAATCGTAAAAAAATTTATGAAGTTTCCCCAATTTTTAAAAAAATTTAAAAGGCGCGAATAGCGCCCACGCGCTGAGGAATTGACAAAAATTATGCTAAATGGGTAGTCTATGGGGGACAATCGCCCACTGATAATTCTAAAGAATTCTTCAGGTTACAGCCTGAAACCAAAAGCCGTCTTACCACCCAGATTTATTTTAAAACACTGTTGTAGTTTAAGTAGCTAAATGTACAGTTGCGAAAATTTCCACTGTGAAATTCAAAAGGCAATTTGGCGAGCATACGTCTGCTTTCGATGAATTCTCTTCAGGCTTGTGCATTTATATGACTATTGAAGTAATAAATTAAAAGATATGGGCAAGTAGATAATTAAACTTTAGCTCGGGTGTGTGGAGGGGAGGGGAGAGTGAGAGTGAAACACCACAATTCCAGTCAGCGCCCGGGAGAAGGTGGGCCCCGACGAAGGTAATTACATGCGGGTGGCTGGCTTGGTGGCTTTGACCCATGGTAACTGTGGGACCTGTATGAAGTTCTTCTGTGCGCATAGGATCGGTCGGCGTAGCCTGATTGCAGACGCTTCTGCCGTAGCTAACAAGCGCTGCCCAAGCAGTTTTGGATAGCTTGATGGGACCTTGTAAATCATTCTGAAGGCCTCTCTGGCGTCTACATAGTGGTCTGTGTCTAACATATGCGCGAGGATCGAGCTGTTGATGGTCTTTATTTGTCCCTTTCTTAGTCATGCTGGGAGATGTTCTTTCATTACTTTGAATAAACGCCGGCTCGTGCGACCAATATATTCTGCCCCACAGGAGCAGGTGAAGGAGTAGATACACATAGAGGTGGTCTGAGCTGGTAGTTCGTCCTAGCCCTCTCCGTATAAGATGGGACTGGTGGAGAACAGTACACGGGTGTCAGCTGCTGGGAAGGTCTGTGCTACAGCTTGGGTTAGGTGTCTTCTTAAAAGCTCACTTTGTGCATCCCCTTGAAATAGGACCCTGATAAAGAGCGTTTTCTTTCTTGCCGTCAGTATCGGGGGCTTTTGTGCTCTTTCGGCCACGTCCTTAACAATGAATCGATCAGGATACCCGTTTTGGCGAAAGAGGCTTTCCATGATCTTAAGCTCTTTCTCAATGCTATCAGCTGAGCAGATTCTTTTCACTCTTTCTGTCAAACGGCGGACTAAATTACGTTTAACGTTTAGCTGTACGGAATTCCCAAAATGGGTGTATTGTACGGACCAGCACAAGGCCAACTATTGCGCTGTGTATACAAAATTCTGGTTGATTTTTGCACTAAACGCTTTAATCACGGAAGGCCGACCAAGATCTCCGAAGCGTCTACACAGCAATTCCCTTAATCCGGTGAGCATTTCATTCTTCCCAGAGTATCGGCCCAGATCTCTTACGTTTGCTAACCTGAGCGCATTTGGTCATTACAAAAAATTTAAGCCGTCCGCATTCAGCAAGACATCTTTGTTGGCATATCTGGAATTCTCATGTCAGCACTGTAAAAAAATCGCATAAACGCATATACTCTCTGAACTGATCTAAAAGCTTCTGGGAAAATTCCAGGCGACTCGAACGCTGACAGGTTAAACGGATGAAAGCACACGATGACAATATTAAAGGTTTATGTTGACAAAAACGCACGCTTAAAGGTCAATCGGCAAACCTACACAGTAGTAGTAACTTTCTAAAGTACAGTAGATGTACTACCTCATGAAATGCTAATCAGAATTCTGAAACGTACATTTGATTCGTAAAAAGTTACTGAAGAAGGGCTGTTATGTTAGACATCCTGCCCCATAATGCCGAGATATTCTAGTTATATCAGGATACCGACTTTCCAATGAGTTCTTAATCAACCGCTGGCATAAAGTATATTTCGTAAAAAAGTACTACTTAAGTAGTAAGAATTAGTATCACGCGGATTGTCGATACCCCCATAAGTTCAAATATACTGCATAGAAAACGTGTACGAAATTATTCTTTTTTACTTATTCGGCGGCAAATTAAATCCTCTTCAAATTTAATACTTGAATGAAGAGTATCGTTTGGTTTTTAGCAGCTTTCTAATTTTAGAAAATTCCCATAGCCGTAATCAGAAGACGAGATGGCGAGCATACGTAGCTTTCGATAAATTCTCGCCGGGCCTGTACAGTTATATGAGAACGGGGTAGAAGAAAAACACGTCAGCGTTAAGAAAAATCGATAAAAGTTCTACTTAAATACGGGCGGGGTGTGGGAATGTGGGGGGGGGGGTGGGTAATAGCAATCATTGTCAGGGGCGGGGTGAGAGCGGAAGGGCGCGAAGTGTAGCAGCGTTAGTCGACCTTTGGCCACTGTAGGCGCGGAGCCTGAACGTGGTTCTTCTGTTCGCACAAGATTGGCTTTCGTAGCCTAATAGCGGCTGCTTCGTCTGCCACTAACAGGCGCTGGCCTAGTAGCTTAGGGTAGCTCGATAGGACCTTATAAATTACACGAAAAGCTTCGTTGGGGTCCACAGGATGTCCGAAATCGACAACATGCGCGAGAATGGCGCTGTCTATTCTCCTACTTTCACCTTTTATCAGCCATGCGGGAAGGCGTTCGCGTATTCTCTTGGATAAGCGCCGACTCGTTAGACCAATATAACCTGCTTCACAGGAGCAAGTGAAGGAATATATGCTGAGGTGGTCTGCGGTGGCAACTTATCCTTACCTTCTCCGCGTAAAATCGGGTTACTAGAGAATGCTATTTGAATGCTTGCTGCTGAGAAGGTTCGCGAGACAGCTCGATGAAGGCGTCTCCTTAGGAGGTACTCGCGGCGTCCCCTTTGAAAGGGATCTTGAGGAACAGTCTTCTTTTCGGCGGTCCGTGTGGCGGGTTTGATCGGTCGTCCAGGAATATTTTTTTCACTAAACCGTTCAGGATACGCGTTTTTGCGAAGGAAGTCCTGGATTTTTCTGAGCTCCTCCTCGATGCTATCTGTTGAGGTAATTTTTCTAGCACTTTGTGCCAAACATCGGACTAGATTTCGCTTTGTTGGAGGGGTTCGGGCAGGATGGAAGTTGGTAGCCCTGCCCACTGATTCTACAACTGTACCTACTGGTTCGATTTCGGTATATGTGCTAACGTTCTCATTATGTCTGGGGGGTGCACGCGGAGAGACCCTGTCAGGATGACTTTCTTCTTCACTTTAACCGCCCCGAGAACGAGGCGCTGCAAAACTGTCTATAAAGACTCATTGTATTGCACTCCCACACGGAAATCTTTAGTAAAAGGCGAAAGATTCATCCTAAACGGATTATGATTCATCATGCTTCCCATTATGCTTCTAATTGCATGTGCGCACAGTATTACCTGCATCAGATAAATTGCATAGGTACTATCCTAGGCGGATTGGCGCGGGTCTCCGTTTCGTCGGTTTGCCTGCATCCTTGGGTCTTTTTACTCCAGACCTGCAGTAGAGTCCGGTGCGATCATGTACGAAAGGACAACCGACGCTCAGTTAGGGTGTCTACCGATACGCCATCCACTGCATCAGTCGTAGTGACAGAGTGCTGCCCTCCATCCCCCGCCTTTACGAACAGCCCGGTTGTATTTAGTCGCAGGGCTTTGGCTGAAAACTGTGACGCCTTGTAAACACCGCCATGGCCAGTTAGCGATCCTTTCCTGCACTTCCAGTTTAAGGCACTACGACACTCCCCGGGCGCTTCGATAATGCTGGGTTTGAACTGGGCGCACTTCACCTACCACATCGCGCACTTACTACCTCATGGGTTCAGACTACAACAGCAAGGCGTCTCATACGCCAGTCAGACCCGAAGTGTTCATCTTCCTCGCATTTTTCACCTTATTTAAATTAGGTTTCCACTTTATCAGGATCGTCCATTCCAGGCATTCCATACAAGCGCCATTTACGCCTCCACTCATTTGCCCCACCCGTATAGCCCCTATTACCACCGGTCCCGTCAGTCAGGTAGCTGGGAGTTTTCAGTGCCGGGAGGGCTACCAACTACCATCTAATCGGGGTTCGAAACTGACGAAGTTCGTGTATTGTCCAGACCAGGTTTTCTTCCGATAGACGCTTCTTCGGGCACTCCCGTCAGGTCTCCTGCTTCGAAGAACATCTAAGGAAGGGTGCGAACCGGCCGTTTCCATCTCCAGCGTGAATTTGATCGACGGATGTGCCTGATTTGCCGCATCTAAGAGGGTTGCTACATCGGTTTCTGCAGTGGCAATGACAAAGATATCGTCAACATGGCGACCGTAATGTTTGAGCTTATCGATCTGTTCGCTTAGTTGCAATCTCTCCAATTTTCCCATGAAGACATCAGCTAGGGGAGGTCCAAGGGGTGAGCCCATAGCAACGCCGTCTACTTGTCTATAGAGTTGGTTGTCGAACAGGAACTGCACATTTAATGTGCATCTTAGTAGTAGTTCCTTGAGCGTCTTCGCCGGAATTCCTATTTGCCGCTGGCTGGCAGATAGGAAATCACAGAGGTAGTCAACTGTGTTTGTGAAATTTCCCAGGGCCGCAAAATGTCTAATCATACTTCGTCTCATTAGCAAATTTATTGATGTTGCTTAAAAAGTAGATATATTTGCCTATATCCATTAGGCAATTTTGTGAACCCCATATGGCCCCTTCCAAATATATGATTTCCTTTACATGGGACGTACACAGCTTCCAGTATGGAAAGCTTGAATGCAATCGCAATGGCAGGTGTTGTTAAAAATTACGCGGGAATTGAGAAAGTTTTTTTAAACAGAAGTAAGTGTGATTCGTTTTTGGGTAAACTTAGCATTTTCGAGTATCTTGAGTTCACGTTTGTCAGACACGACCAAACACGAATGTGGACATATCTATTTTTTAAATTTACATATTTTAAAATATAACTTATGTCTTTCTCGCAAAAATGAAACTATTTTTGACGTACGTATATGATCATTTACGTAATGCAAACTTGTCTATGTCTAAAGCAGTTTAAGTAGAACAAATCACATCTGTCATATTTCCAGTTATAGGACTTTAACTGCGACCAGCAAATACTTCCAAAACAAATAGTTTCTAGCTCCAACTAAATTTGCATCAGACTCACTTAAACGCTTAATAGATGATATGGATCAAAAGCGATTCCGTTCTTCTATTTTACTGGGTCGCTAAACTCGCGGTATGGATTTCCCATACTGCTGATTAGATGCTATTAAATATCACCAAGTTTCAAACCCCGCTAACTTCGAAACGATTATGCGGTCCAATTATGTACTTCAGTCTTCATGCATCCCAGTTAATTTAGAATTCCTAACTATCTGCAGTTAAAATTCGTCGAACATAAACAAAAATACATTTGGAATAAGGTGTCCAGCTGATGTGGTTACTTACTCTTTCGACATCCAGCCTGTCTTTCGGCATCAAACAAATTCAAGCCTGAAGTACGCAGCCTTATGTAACACGCATGAAGTACTGCAGTAAAAATGAAAAGGTAACAGAGATAATTTCGTGACCATCTGAAATCATTAGCATGCCTTATCCCTTGCAAACAATGACAATTTAAATTTTGAATCAATAGCTGGAGGGCGATGCGTTATCAGGATGCGACGTAAATAAATAACACTAAAACGCGAGCCAAATTCTCAGCGCATAGGACAGTGGCTCAAAATTTACCGAATAAAACGTAAAAGAGGTCTGAACATCTTAACATAGAATAAAAGCATAAAAGGGAATTAAAGTGCTAAAAGCCTGCAAAAATGTTTAAACAGATGAATTATAGGGGGACATAGAACTCAAGACAAACAGAGGGTTTAGATCTTAGATAAAGAAAAGGAACATGTTAGTGCAAACAAGTACGTCAACGAAGTTTGCAGTGCGTAAATGTGATTAAACAAAATTGCAAACGGTATTCGTGATGACTTCCTTCGAGAGATTAATAGAAAATACAACTAAATAATTGGCAGATTATTTTGTGTTGTGCAATCGTTTATAGTCGGCACCAGGATGTTGCATCGAGTTATTCGCTGAATTTCTTAAACATTGTCCTATCAGAATGAAAGAAATGTCGCCTGACCTTTTAACTGTTTTGGCAGTAATATTATTCCATGTTAGGCTAAGTCTCGGCGGACATACACCTGACTTGATGACGACACCTCACTAGTCGTCGCAAATATAGACATGCTACTGACGGGCAGGAAGCCGACATATCTTCTTCATAATCATTTTTTTTCGTCTTAGTGATGACGTACTCGCCAAATCTCAAGCGATACAAGATATGCTGATAGAAGCGAACAGGCGAGTTCCAGGTAGCAGTTCAGTTCAGTTCGATACCCTATTCCGTACTGCGATTTTTCTCGGGCAGGAGAATCAGTCACGTGAGGAGGGCGCGGGCGAGCAATCATCATGGTGACAGTGAGCCAGTTTGCCGAGCAATCTTCACACCAGCATCCGGCATGGATGACGAAATCGCGGCAATTAACGACTCGGATTCGGACCGACAAGCCACCACCGCATCAATTACGACCTCAGCGGTGATTGCGAGACCTGTTAATTGCAGTGCGCATACGGTCACACGACAGCCACGTGCTATAACTACTGCACTCCTGGTGCTACCATCACCTTTATCTGCGAATGTCTCTGATGATGGATTCGAGTGAGAATCCGAAACGTCAGGCAGATAAATTTCTTGTTCCAGTGATCGCATCTTCATCTTATGGTACAAGATATGTCGGTGAAGAATCCAAGCCTATCGATTTAACTCATCCTGTAAAGAGGAGATGACTTCGGCTGTATTTGCAGGCTACAGTTATGGCGATGAATTGACTCCATGGATATCTAGCCCATATAGTTAATGTCTTCAACACACATTCTATGGATTAAATATGGAACTTGCATCAATACGTCTTTTTTAAAGAGTTCATCATATGAAGCATCCTACAACCCGTGAATTTTAATTTTTTCTACCAAAATGCCAGTTCGTAAATTAAAAAATGCCTATTTTTGCAACAAAAACCATCAGTCGTTCTGTCTTCCAAGGTCGTCTGACGTCTTTCCGTTTGGTTTCCAGTCGTGTATTTTTCATCAAAGCAGCTTAAACTATTTCATTGTCGACAAACTTAATATTCGTTCGACTATAGTGTAGACAATGTGGGTGTCACGTTCTGCCATAAATATGTAACCGATAGTGCTCGAAGCAAAGCATGTAGTGGCAGCATTCGTACACTTTCGAAGCTATGCAGCTGAATATGATCTTTTTATTTTGCGACTTAATGATTCCTAATTTGCGCTGTTATGTAAATTTTCGGACTAGGAACTTTTTCGTTGGGTACTTGGCCTGGAAGTAAACTGCGAACATAAATAACTTGAAGGGGGCATGCAACAGCCAATTATATTAGTCGTTAATAAGGACGATAATAAAACTAGGAAGAGTTCACGTCATGTTGTGTGGCTTAACTAAATGTGGGACGTGCCTTCTACGACGTACACTGAGGTGAGGAGGAAAGGTAACAGAGCAGTAAATCACATTCTTTTCAGATAAGAAATAACATAGTATTTTATATTTATAAAGCTACTTGTTGTTGGATTCCAGACTGCAAAAAAGAAGGAAACGGACCCTCCTCCAGCAAATAAGACGAGCAGTCAGAGGCAAATAATGATGACAAACTGGTTACCAAATGTACTTTTACGGCAACAATTAGGGACTAATTTTGTCATGTCATGCTCCATGCTAAGGGAGATTGGAGTCATTAATGCCCATTCATGATTCAATTTTACTGTTTCTAATTTAATCCCCAGAACAACGAGTTTGTAAGCAGAATTTCAATGGGTGTAGACTCAGGTGCGTGAAGACCTGTGAAATTTAGATAAAATTAGCAAAGTTTGGCAAAAAAGTGACCTTCCAGATACACACACTTTTAAAAAGTGTCTGTAACTGTGCTCGCATATGCGTTTTTGTACAAATCAAGCCACAGGCGTTTCACGAAACTAAAATAAGTAACAAACTCTTATGGGAAAATACCACTGCATGAATTGAGCAGTTTGACCAGAATTTCTAATCCCAAAAACGAGTACTCAAGTTTTTTTCTGATACAGACGAAACCCTCAGGGAGTTTTGTCACATTTGCCCTACCAGGAGGCTGATAGTTAAAAAAGTATAATACACTGTTGCTATCAAGTATTTTTGCAAGGTATATTTTGGTTTAATTTGATCAAATCCATATGTTTGGCAAGTGATAAAAGTAAAACGCGAAAAGCATGCGAAATTTAATGGTACATAGGCCACCTAATATTATTGGTACATTTAATTCTCCTATGCAAGAAGTTGACTACAGTTTTACAGCGTTCGTGGTTGTTGTATTTGCTCACCTATACACTTTTGTATCGCAGACAAGTATTCACTGAAAGGCAGACGTAAAGCCGCAAATGTTACATAAATAAGGTGTGCACATTTTATTTAGACCGGTTCTATTCCCTTGGTCACCCCCTCCATGTTATATCAAAAACCACTTTTCTGCACATTATTACAAACTCAACTGGAAACAAGTAACAGTAAATTAATTATAAATCGTTTCTGCTGACACATCCACTGACGATTTGCTGCATCTAAAAACCCAGTTGATTGTTTGATAGAAGTTTACTTTTCATGCATTTAGGTTAAGTTCAAATAAGCGAAGCTGTTGGGCTTTTTCTAACTCAATGTCATGACTCTGGTAAGCCAATCGTGAGCACTAGCTGCATGGTACTTTGAAGTTTGAGCCGTTGGGCTTCGACCGTACAGAGTGCAGGGGCATCAAACGTCGTATCGGTCCTCACTGTTTACGTCTCACAGACCTCCCCAGTGGAATTTTCCTTTGGAACTCGCTCGTTAAAAACAACTGCAAGCGTTTTACCAAATAGGCGGCAAAATGGACATATTTTGCATCAAGTATGCCGCCAAACAAGGGCCATAAGCTCCATTCATCTTACAAACTTATGGAAATGGTTTGAGTCTTAAAATGCTAATAAAGGCCTTTAGCAAACGCAATTTAGCGTTGGCAGTTAAGGCTGTACTCATCCTACTTAATGCTCATGAAACAGTCTCTAATTTCTATTCATAGCTCCATTTTGTGGTTTCCCAGTAGAGTTCGTAAAGCAACAAATCCTCGGTAAACAGTTCAATGAGTATGACCTTAGCAAACGATGAAAACTTGTCGTTGAAGAACATGATATCATTTTGTCTAGAAAAAATGGCCTTTGACCATGAAAAAACTTGTTAACCATGCTTTACTTTGTTCACAAGGAGGTCAACAAAATTAGACGGTCAGGAAGACAGTGCTTACAAAGATGGACACAACACAACTGGAATAGTACATGCATTAGTTTGAGCTTTCGG